AGCTTCTCGCACCTGAAGCGCTTGGGATAGTTGTGGGACTGTGTGAGATTGCCAAAGGATTGCAGCATATCAATCTCGGGCTGGCGCTGCGGCGGCCCACAGTAGTCGCTCTCCAAGTGCTTTTGCTCGAGGAAGCGCTGCGGCAACACCTCGAAGGCCAGCGTGGAGGTGGTGGTGAAGTTGCGATTCATGGAGATGTGATCCAGCAAGCTCATGTTGGATGTTTCATTCTTCTTGAAGTTCGCAAAGGCCTGGCCACGCCGATCCGAGAAATTCTTAACTGTGCCCATGGCCATGAAGGGTGCCCTCGTGTAGGTGGCTTGGGTGACGGACTGGTGCTGCTCGCAGCCCTCCAGTGCTCGCACCGGGGGCACAACGGCGTTGCTCTTCTCCTCGATCTCATAGCGACGCTCGGACCAGTTTCCTATGAGCACCTCCTTGCCATAAGACTTCTGGCCGGTGCTTTGCATTGTACTTAAACGAAAAACCAAGGAACAAGTAGGGAACTAAACTAACACAAAAACACACGCTTAAAACTGACAAGTAAACCCCGACCTACTCTGCATCGAAAGTAAAAGAGAAGCAAAATTCTGTTGGCCAGGGATTTGGATTTATGAGTAGTTGGAAACTTTGGTCTCAATCTTGAGGTTCTTCAGGTCGTCGTGCATGTTACAATTCATAAAGATAAACTTGCCGCGTTCGCGCTTCCGTGTGGCCTCGTCAGCGGTCGTCCACTCGCCCATGTCCTGCTCCTCGGGCTTTATTTTGATCTTAAAGTCCGTCAGGTAGCTGGTGGCCTCACGATGTGGCCGCTCGCTGAGCAGCTTGCAACGCATTCTGTTGTTGAATCCAGTCCGATTGCCATAGCTTTCGGTGCCATCCAGCTCGCTGGGCATGTACCTCTGACCTGCCTGCTCCTGCTGCTGGCACTCCTCCTGCCGCATCTGGGGCAACATATCGAACATCAGGGTGTTCATGGAGGTGTAGTTATTCAGGTATCGATCGGCGTGGTGCAGCTTCAGCCCCGAGATGTGCGCTTCTCGGATACCCTCCATGAGGTGCCTGTTCTCAATGTGCTCGTAAATGGTTTGATCCCGCGTGAAGCGCGTGTACGTGTCCTGGCTGCATGTTGTGTGCCGCTCGCACGCTTCCTGCGCTGACAGACCGGGCAGTATGGTGTTCCCATATTCTATGTCCTTCAGGTAGCGCTGATTGAACCAATTTCCCACCAGCACATTGCTGTTGTAGGTCAGTGGCTTCTCCTTGGTGTACGAGTGTCGTTCGTCCTTCTCCTGTTCCTGCGGCGAATAGACCTCAAGATCCGGCAACATATTTAACGTGTTTAATGTGACGTGAAAACTGAACTAGCTAGTGAAGGAAAATGCTGTGACACGCCCTAATATCAGAGAAACGAAAAACTTAACGAAAGTGAAAGATTCACAAAGGGGCGGGTGTAAAAGCAGTTAAAAGGCTGCCCCCAATGGCTGTAAAGTCTTCAGAGAAAGATCGAAATATGTGAAAATATATAGCAAAAATGTAATCGGTAATAAAACAATAGAAATGGCAAAGTAAAACATGGAAAGCGACTCACTGGTGTCCCATTTTGCTTTAGCGCTGAATATTAGTTGCGGGTTTGGCTTTGTGTTTTTGTTTTTAATAATCGTATAACAAAAAAACACTCCAAATTTATTCATTCTTTATTAATTTATTTTTAAGCTTTCGCTCACTTTTCGCTCACTCTCTGCTACACTTCACTCCCTTTGCACTAGCACTTCCACTTCCACTTAACACTGAGTGAGATGAACTTTGCCGCTCTCTCCTTAGTCTTCAGCTGGTCTTACTTCAACTCACTCTAACACTTCACTCACTCCACTCTTCACTCACTTTTGTCGCAAGCTGCACCAACACTTGCACTCACACACACAGACAAAAAAAAAACAAATTCAAGCACAGCGGCAGACCATGCCAGGATGCCGTTATTTTTTACGTTTCTTTCCTTGCACTCAAATTACACATTTTACCACTTTGCCGCCTTGTAACACCTTTACGCCCAAGACACGAAAACACATGCGCCGGCGCTTGGTAATTTGTTTTAATGAATGAACGTAATTAGCTGCGCATTAGCGCGACGTTCTATTTTGAATGTTTGAATGTTTTAAATGGTATGCGTTATGCGTGGTGTGGGGGGGAACAGAGAGCGCTGTGACAAGAGTGCATGCGTATGCAGCTCAAATCTCTTCGTTGACATCGTATCGAACTTCGTTTCTGTTCGTCTCTTCTCTTCCCATCTTGCAAGCTTAGAACGCAGCAGCGCTGCCGGCTCGGAGCGCTTTCGTTTACCTGCAAAGAATGAGAGCGAAAGTTGGGCGGCGAAAAAGAGCGCATATGTGTGTATGTGTGTATGCTCTTCTTTGATTTCGGCACGCACCTTTTCTCACAGCACAGAACGAAAACGAAAGTTTCTGCCGAGCAAGAACTGTATGTTTGTATGTATGCAAATGTGTGTGTGAGAGCTAAGGCTTAGAACTCTGCAGTTTCTCCTTCAATGTAAATGTAGGTCAGGGAAACTCTCACTCAGCTTTATAAAATATATTAAAATTCATTTTAAATAACCCGCCTAGCATTTCAGCATTTGTCAGCTGCCAGACTACTAGAAAAAGATTACTCAATTCAGCCCTGTTATCGCACACAAGTATCACCTAATAATATATATCGATATGTTGCTGCATTAATTTTATCATCCCTATAGGCACCATAGTAAGGATATTTCCAAAATTGAGTTCATTGTATATTTACGGTTTGTCTAGTTTTAGCGCGGTGACTCCTAACAAGCTAAAATCGAGGAAAATAATTTAAGATACACGGTATATTTACAGTATATTTTGAAAATGCAAGAGTATATTTCGGTATATTTCCGACAGTCTGTCGGTAACCCAAAACTGATAGGCACCGCGAGTATAAGATTAATTGAAATTATAGGAACATGTTTAATGCAACACCTTGCATGCCCTCAACAACAACCATCGATAGCAACACTCATCAACAGAAACACCGAACATAAATTTGCAAGAAAATATCGACAGATTTCATGCGCAGCTATCGTCGTGCGACCCTCCCTAATTGGCTGTAGCGATAACAATAAAAAAAAAAAAATAAACAATAACAATGGTGAGAAATATGAATAAAAACATGATAATAGCCTGGAGAACTCAAACTTGTTGCCCCCCCTGTAGCTTTTCTACTCGTTCTTCAAATCCCTGGTAGGCAAGGAAGTCGTCGTCGAGCTGAAAAATGATCTCAGGTGAGTCCGTGGCGAGGCGTCTGTGCATTGGGCGCGTGCAGCCGGCGAAAGTAATGCAACATCTTCCCTCTCCCTTCTTCTGCACAGCATATGCGGCACACTGCACTCTGTGGACCAATATCTGAACATTAAGCTGACGGACATCAGTGTGACGGATCCGGACAAATATCCGCACATGCTCAGCGTGAAGAACTGCTTCATCCGCGGCTCCGTTGTGCGCTACGTCCAGCTGCCTGGCGAGGAGGTGGACACGCAGCTGCTGCAAGACGCCGCACGCAAGGAGGCCGTGGTGAGCACGCGGTAGAAACAGGCATAACCCCACTGCCCTCCCCCCATTTATTGTGTTTATTGTGCCCTAAATCTAAGTGAAAAGAAAAACCTTTGTTATAGCAGCAAAAAACGCAGAGAAAATTGCAACCGAAATTATAGAAAAACTCAACGAAGAAAGGTTTTCGATGTAATTTATCGCTATAAATTATGGAAAAACTCAACGAAAAGAGGCGTAGAAGTTGCTTGCTCTTCGAACCAAAGTCATTTTCGAGGTAAACAATGGAAAAACTCAACCAATCGATTTAGCTATTTTCGCTGCTTCAAGTGCCACCAAATGTATGTATTTATGTATGTTAAGCATAAACGCCCTCCGGTGGCACCTCCCAGCCACCAGCATTTATGTGAGTTATTTACGGCTCATCAATTTCTGATGAGTCAAGCTTGAGGTTTTGCGGAGTCTTTCGATTTTGCTTGCTGCCCGTTCCAGCCTCGCGCCTTGCGTCATGTTGATAATGGCCCCAACGAATGGTCTCCATAAAATTGTATAATTGTTGTGAAGATGTGCGGCCCAGACCCCCCACGTGGCAGCTCGATTAATGTGTATGTCTCTCTGTCTCACATATTATTCGCATTTTACGATTGCTCCGCCTTTTGTGTGGCCTCTGAATGGCGGCTGTCACTGCCCGGGGCTTGGCCTATCGCAGTTTGAGGTCCTTCAGCAGGGGCATTGTGTTGCTCGATGCCCAGCAGAAGAAGAAATGTTTTTAATTCCTGAACGAACCGAACGCACACCCACCCAACCGCTGCCAATATGGCTGGGCGCTGCCCCCGTGTCCCCTCCGAAATTGCTTTGTTTTGAAAGAATGCGCACTAAAAATGAAATGCTCGTTCGTTAAATATTTCTGTGCAGTCGATGCTTACGGCATTTACATTTAAGACTGCTCCCTGGATTCCCTGTCCCCTCCATGGACTGGCAACTGCAAAGTCGTGCCATCAAAAGTTGTACGTGGCAGAGCAGTCGCCGTCTGACCGCGCATAATTGACTTGGGAATGGGAAATCGGCTGGCAGCAGCAGCACATTTTCGGACTGGCTGGACTTTCATTATTTGTGGTAATTCGCTTCCGGTTGCCGCAGAGCCCCAAAAACTTTGTGCCAGATACAGCAGCACATCGCTGGAGCAGTGGATTCCATTTCGTTTTTTAAAGTGTCCTCGTCTAGGCCGCCTCCGCCTGTTGCCCATCATGATGAGCGTGCGCCTGTGTCGCACATAAAATGTTGTAATATACTGGCCCCAGGCAGGAGAGCTGGAGAACCTACGTGAGCCTGTTGGATTTATGTGCACCCCCGCCAGCCACCGCGCCAGTTCATCAACGTGTTGAGCCTCTGCCTCTGCGTGGGGTGTGCGTAAAAAAGTTGCCTCGTAAAATGTCTCGGAAGGATCATTCGGTTTTTATTAAAAATAAACTATACAAATTTGACACAGATTATTTATACATAAGTACAGTACACACACACACGCACACACACACGCACACACACACATAAAGGATGCGGGAATAGGTGGGGAAGTTATGGTGCAATCTCCCACTGAGTTGTGGGGCAAACAGTTTCAGAAAAGGGTAAACACTTAGTACACTTATTTCCGCACTTCGAATTTTATTGTCTTCAAATAAATACACAAAAAAGGCGCTGCCTAAAGGATATTTTTGTTTGTAGTTTGGTTTTTGTTTTCCTTTTGCTATGGCTATTTTTGGGGGTAACTAGTTGGGAGCTCAAAACGTGTCTCCCAAGAAAATGCACATTCATGGTTAAAATTTGTATTAAGTAGATAGTTATTACCCTGTTTTACCCTGAACTAGCAACTGAGGGGAGGGAAATCGAAGCAAGCAAAGTGATTGACTGCAAAGAGCAGCAACGTTGGCTGCATGGCAAAGGGATTAGTTGCTAATTAAAATACTTGTCGCTGCAGAAGCTGCACGTGCCACTGTTACGAACTAGGAATAAAAAAACAAACGAAACGAAACGAAACGAAACACACGCTACGCTAAGCACACCCTTTGTGTGCTTTGAAGACTTAACTCTCAGTTTGTATTAACTAACCAGCCACACGATGGATGATCTGATCATCGATGCGCACAGCTGACACACACACACACACACATGCACATACAGACACGGCTCATCCTGTTCCAGGTGTGCACTCTCGCTCACTCACTCTTACTCTAAGCTTTTGCTCTCACTCTCTCACTCTCTCACTCTTGCTCTTACTTTATGCTCTTACCTAATGCTCTTACCAGGGTGAATTTACCTACAAGGTGGCTGTCTTCACTGGCCTTCACCACAGCTGTGATCCAGCAGAGCGTGGTGAATAAGTTAGCGAATAACGCCACCTTCTAAGTAAATTCAACTTGACTCTTACTCGCTCACTCTCACTCTCACTCTCTGACTCCCTTACTCTAAGCTCCCTTGACATCACTCACTGCACTGGTATCTGTGGCAGTTCTTGCTGCCGCCGCACCAGCTCCCTGCTCAGGCAATGGCAGCAGGTGCACGCATCCTCTGGCCCATCTGCTGTTGCCGCATTCTCCACCGCCATCGCCAGCTGCTCTCACACGCTCGACACACGCTCATTATTGTCCAGCAGCGCACTGGCCATGCCCAGTCCCAGTCCCACGCCCACGCCCACACCGCCACGCTGCCCGTCATAGTTGAGCACCACGCTGGAGGGGATTGTGGTTGTCGTCGCTGTCTGCAGCAGCAGTCGCTGCTGTTCCTGTTCCCGCAGGCAGCTGGGATGCCGCACGAGAATGGCCAAATGTGGATGTGGACTGCGCACGGAGGAGCCTTTACGCATCAGTTGCGGTGTGGCGCTATTGCTGCCACACACAGAGCCAGAGCCAGGGCCAGGGCCAGGGCCAGCAGCAGCGCCGTTCGAGCCGGGACCCACATGCAGCAGACCCACTTGCTCCTTGAAGGGTGGCGCTGCTGCTGCACTGTTGCTCGTGCTGCGGTAGTAGCTCTGCTGCCGAAAGGCACGCATCTGCCGTGAGCTGCCGCCGGTGCCATCCACTTGCGTCACGGCTGTCAGCATCGAGGGCGTGCGCTGCGAGTCGCCTCTGTGGGAGAGTTAATGCCATGTCAGAGCTGTCGAGCTGTCGAGCTGGATTCGTGTCCCCAGGCTGTGCCCGCCCTCACCTGTTCAAGCTGTAGGCATTATTGTTGCCACCCACACTGGACTTGCTGCCTTTGCCGGGACACAGATGGAAGGCGCCATAGATGAGCGGGTTGACAAGGCTGTTGGACATGCCAAAGAAGAAAATGGCATCCTGCAGATCATCGCCCAGCTGCAAGAAAAGGGAAGACACAAATGTTTTGGGGATTACAATTTCAATTAATTTGCTGTCCCTTTTGGGTCATTGAAGCTCCTCGTCTTGGCCACAGTCGAGTGCATGCAAAGTGCACACTAAAAAGGATTAGTCGGTCGCTTTGTTATTAAATGGTTTCCGCCATTTACGGTAGCTTTTATGTGGCCACATAATCCTCCACTGCCGGGACACTCATCAAAGTCGGCCTTGTCCCTGGCAGCCATTAAATGTTAGGCCCCAGCACGGGGCCGGCGCACGATTAATTAAAAAATGGGAAGCATTAGAAATGATTTTTATGTGCGCGGGGGCAGAGATTGAACATCTGCGACTGGGCTGAAACACGAAATGACAAATCGAAATGACTTTTGATTGATGTTTGCCAGCGAGAACACACCAGCCGCTGCTGGGAATCCTTTATCCTCTTTTACTCCACTGTCAATCAGCGTGGCAGCTCCACCCCTTAACAGGGGTTTTGCCCTACTCACCCTCTTGTCGGGATTCAGAAACATGAACATAATCATCATCACATAGTAGGGAGTCCAGCAGATGAGGAACGCTATGATGATCACCACGGATATCCGCAGTGACTTCATCTTGGCCTTGTGTATGAGTCGCTGTCGATTCGTCTGAGTGGGCAACTTGTTCGTGGAATAGTTGGCCAACTTGGAGCCCTGAAACATCTTCTCGCTGCCTAAGAGAGAGAGGGGAAAATGTGTCGCAAGTTAAGCAAAATCAGCGCCCCGAAACTTACTTGAAATGGTGCGAAAAGTGGACATGTATGTGCCGAAGAGTATGCAAAGTGGCAGCAGGAATGTGAAGACCAGCGTGAAGGTGGCATACATTTGCTCCTGCCAGTCCGCCGTGTAGAAGCCGTGGGTCACACACTGATAGAACTCCTCCACAAAGGGGCCACGTGCCACATGGAAGATGAAGAACTGCAGTTGGGCGCAAACATAGGAGACATTTGGTTTATTGGTTAGCTGGAAACAGGTAGTTGGAACAGACAGTGGCTTGGCAGAATTTGCTACAATTCCCTGGGGGTTTTCCCAATAATTGAAGCTCAATTTCCTTGCTATGGAAGTGCACACCGCACACCGCATTTGACCACTTTTGAGCGAAACACAAACTCTTTGACTCCACACAGGAAGAACCAATAGCTCTGGCTCCACACAGGGGGTCTGCCACAATGCTGATATATCGAACTGTTCGGTGGATGCTTCGGGGGGTCACGGGTCACTTCATTTCATCAGTTTATGGGTTTCTCAGCGGCTGTTGCCTGCTGTGCTCCAAATGCTGAAACTAAGCGTTGCAGTAAAACTACACAAGAGCCGGGGACACTCGGAGCATGCCGCCCAAACCTACGTCCAATGTTTGATTTTTATTCATTTCGCACATTTATAACTTCCGAGCCATTGACGCAAGTCAGCAGAGTGAGGGATGCGTGAAGTGGGATACAAAAGACAAGGATCGATAGAGGAAAACGGCATTAAATCTGGCATAGCTAAGGGCAACATCCAGCCATGAGATAACAAGCTTTAAACACATTTTCTAGCTGATTCTCCCTGTGACTTGTTTGCTTTCAGTTTACTGCCAAAATATTACCATGCGCATTTTGGCTGGAATTTCAGGGCTTTGTTTTGCATTTATAATGCAGTTTCTGGTTGCTGGAATTGAGGCTGCCAACAAGAGGATAAACATGAGCTAATGCGAAAAACCATGGGCATGTCGTTCTGTTACACAGAAATTTGTGAGAGCGAAACCACAGCAGCAAGTAAACCGAAACTCCACTCCCTATTCCTGTTTGAACATTATTTTCGGTACTTGCGCTTCAGGGGGAGACATTCGCTCCTTGCAGCCATTTCTGTTTATTGACAGTCGCGGAAGAAGTTTTCATTTCGCGGCAAACCAACTTCAGTGGCGCGTTTCATATTGAATTCTGTTGTGATTGTTGCCACGCCCCCGCGTGTGTGTGTGTCGTGTCTGTGGTGGAATTATTTAAAGCGATGCCTGCCGTCACGTCTCTGTGGCGCATAAATTTCATTGTCGCCTGTTCAATAAAAGCAAAATGAAAAAAGTTTCTGCCGCCTGCGCATCCATAAATCTGATGGCAAAGTGATCCTTTAATTGGGTGACAGAGGCTCCCCCCAGACATCCAAAGGAATATCTGAGTTTAACTTGTTCCGAGTCAGAGGCCTAAACAATGACATGGACTGACTCTGCCTCCAACTCCCAAAGAGCTGCCTAAAAAAAAAAAAAAAACATCCCGAAAAAGCGGCTTAATGACGCGGGCGAGGGTGGACCCCTGAGGGGTGGTACAACATAAAAATGTAATTAGACTTAACGTTTTTTTGTGCGGCATTTAAACAAGTCAGACATTTTGACAGGCTGGCACGCACGAGGCAGGTCCAGGCCCACGCGCTCACAAATCACACATACGACGGGGTGTACACGGATAGACACACACGCAGCGCGGCATAATCTCTGGCAACTCCCGAAATTACCATTCAGATAAAAGATAGCAGCAGCACCGCAGGCAGCGAGAGAGAGAGAGAGAGAGCGAGCGAGTCTCATGCATAGGTCCAGTCAAAGGACTCGCCACGGATTGCTCCTAATTAAATGCGGCAAACCGCTTAAGCCCCGGCATAGACTACAGCTAGGTGCCGCATCTGCATGAAGAGAATGAGCCAAAAGCAGTGATTGACATTCAAAAGGAAAGGCAGGCAGGAGAAACTATTCTCATTTGAAATTCCAACTCCCAGGACAGACTTTCCTCCTGCCCTTTTTCACTGCTTCCTTCCCTATTGGCCTGCCCAAGCTGTCGGCAAGTTTTAAGCCTTGTTCCAGCTGCCAAAAGGTCACTTTGCTTAGAGCTTGCTGTGGCGATGCTCAAGTGATGTTCAAACTTAATCACTTTGGCGGAAGCCATAGCAACTTTCCTTCGAGTCCACTTATCAATTAATTGCCTATCTGAGGCAGTTCATGCTCTGCAATGCATGGCCTCTGGCAGTTACTCGTGTCTTCTGGCTCATAAATCAGCAGCAGACAAGCGAGTCAGGGATATCGTATGTAATCGAGCGACAAAAGGCTCGCGGCGGCAGACATTATGCAATCAGCAGCAGGGCCAGCAGCTGGACTCCGAGTCCAAGTGGATCCCATTAATGCAGCGCCTGTCGGGCTTATCGTCCAGCTGCCACAGAATATCTCAGGGCAGCTTCGTGGGAAAAAAAAGAGGCCTTCCTCCACCAAGAAGAATATGAATCGGCTGCGTTTTTTGGGCCTTTTCTTTGGGGCTAAAACCCTTTGCGCTACCCGCACTTCGATTGCCAGCGTCCCTATGTGGGGGCGCACGTGTGTGGGCGTGTCGGCGCCTTAGAGCCACATTTAGTGCACACTTAAGACGCGGGGGGGGGGGGGGGGACATGTTTAATGTCTGCACACATTCTGGCGCCTACTCAAGACTATTTGAGCGTTGCCACGGGGCGTATGCGTGTTATAAAGTAAACAAAATACAACTTCAATTGGGGTAGACAGAAAAGGGCACAAAAGTAGCGGGGGAGGAGCGGGGAACTTAACTTAATGGAAGAAGCTTCGCTTCTCGCACAGATAATCTCCGACAGAGCTAAAAAACATTTGGGGAACCACTCGCAGCACTTACCTGTGGCAGGCTGAGCACCAGCGAGAGTATGTAGGTGCCACCGAGCAGGCGATGGCAACGCTTGGCCATGTTCAGCGACTTCATTGGATACTTGACAGCAATCCAGCGGTCCACGCCAATCAGCACCAGGACATAGGTCGAAAGGTAGAGGCTAAACATTTGGAAGAGCTTCACCAGCTTGCAGGTGAGCTCATTGGCCAGCCACTGCACCGTGTAGCACCAGGCGGCCTCTCCGATAATGCAGAACCACGTGACGAGCACATCGGCTATCGAGAGGTGAAACATCAGCGAGTAGATGGCGCTCCACGTGTGCCGCGAGTTGCGGCGAGAGATGCGCGTCTTGTAGATATTCCAAATGGTCAGCAGATTGCCCAGCAGCGAGAAGAGCGCCATCACGGCCAGCACATAGACCTTGAGCAGCCCGGAGCGCGACAGCTGTGGTGCATGGTCCATCATGTGCTCCGGCAGCTGTTCGGCCATCGGTGCGCCACCTGCGTCGTGCAGGCTGTCGGTGTGCGCCAGCGAGGAGCTGTTCGTCATGGCGGCAAAGGCGGCCACCGGCGTGGGCTCCAGCAGCGTGTTGACCAGCTCCGGGGCGGCATTGAAGAGGCGCGTGAAGTTCGCCAGCGTGGACCAATTGCTGGCCGGATCAGTGTCCACGAGGCTGGGCAGACGTGCTGCCGATTCCGTACCCCAATCCAGCTCCATGTTGGGACAATTTCTTGCACGGTGGGTGGGTGGGTTGGTTGCTTGGGTGGCTGGGTGGCTGGCTGGGTGGTTCAGGGCACACACATCTCTGACTCGTTATGAGCACAGCCTTTGCCCACTCGAATTGTGCCAGTCGCACATTTTCTATGGAATCGATAATTAAATCTGTAAGCAAGAAAAGTTCCGTGAAAAATGAATTAATTATGCGCATGCCAGCAGCGTTCTGTAAGCTGATTTTTACTTAAAGGTTTATGGTTTACCCACAGAGAGGCAGAGTGTTGGACTGTCTGCTGGCAGTCCATTTGTTTTGGGCTCAAAGGTGGCGGCAGCTACCTGCCTGCCTCTGACCCTGCCCTTGATCTGAGCACTCCAATCACTGGTGCCATAGTTGACCCCAGCAACAATTATTCGCTACAATTATTGCAATGCGATTAGAGAGACACAGTCTGGACTGTGGCCAGGGGCTGGCTGTGGGGCTATTAAGTTCTCTGTTGCATTTGCTGCAAATTAACTTTAATAGATTCCCGCCGCTGACTGGCGGGTTCAAAGTGAAATTCCATACAATTTTCATTCATTTTCCAAATTAATTTATGAACATAAATTAAATTGGAAGCCTCGGACTGCCGCTGGACTGGAGCAGAGCTCTTTGTTATTGCGTTTGTTGTTCGTTTCTTGGCTTTTGCGTAAATGGGAAAACAATAAACCCAACTCAAGGCACACTCAAGAGAGTGAGAGTGAGAGTGAGAGAGGGCGAGGGACAAGCAAACAAAAGTATTTCTCCTAAATTGATACACATCAATTGAAGGCAATCGTCTTGGAGCACAACAAAACACGAGACTGTCTCTCTCTCTGTGTGTGTGTTTTTGCTGTTAAAAACTGGAACTGAAACCTGCCCAGACTAAATGCATGATAATTGCACTTCAATTTGCAAATTACAAGCAAAAAGTCAGTCCACTGGCAGTGGCACTAATGTGGCACTCTCCACTCTGGCGAGAGTTTGCACACTCGCCACTCGCCACTCGTCACTCGTCACCTCTGCGAGAGTGCGTTTTAATCAGGCGCACATTTGATGGATCGGCACATCTGTTTCACGTACAATAAACCGCGGGTGCCCTAAACTTTGTAGCCAATTGTGGCGACGATTTTTGATTAATTTGCATACCCAAATAAGCCCGAGCCCATGCGGTACACACTTTAGACCGAAACTTGAGGCAGTTCCAAGAAACTGTCCTGCTGTCACTCTCGCTGTAGAGCCTCGAATCAACAATTGAATTGCCTTCCAGTTGAATGAACTCGCTGGCCATTAAATTTATTTGTTTCAATATCAGCCGACAGGCTGCACACAATTATAATTGCCAGTGTCCCGAGCGCTGTTGTTTTGGCAAAACTCATTGAAGAGCCAGAGTCCAATATCAGTTTGAATCATTTTGAATGGTTATGCACTGAAAAAGGCCATCAGCTGCATCGCTGCACGCTGCAAAATCTACAGCCTATTCAGCCACTGACAATTGTCAGATTTCTCCCTTCCTGAATTTCAATGGAAATTAACTCGGCTTGGACAGGACACAGGAAAGAGTAGATCCTTTTTTCATGAGGCGCTCTTCGCTTGGAACTCTTCCTGTAACGACCAAAGTTTTTGTTTGCCAATGTCAAAAATGTCAAAGACAATTTGTTTTTGTGCTTGTTTTTGGGAAAAGTTTTGGCCATCCCATTCCGCAGAATGAATTAATTTCTAAAGCTGTTTGTTATTATAACTATGGCCGCCGCGTTACTTGGTAATTATTTTGGGTGAGCTCATAAAGAGGCGAAAGAGCAGCTCAAGGCAAGGACTCACAGTCCAGTGGGACAGACGCTGTGGTGGGCAGACACTGTTGACACAACACTTTCAGTTTTTAGCCCAGTATTTGCCCATATTTGTTGCTGTATTCACATTCACATTTGAGCCTTTTGGGTTTTTGTCTAAGCCGCAAACGGGCGACTGACTGGCTGTTTGCACAGTTGGAAACGCTTCTCTAAACACCATCGGAACAGCCGAAAAACAGCTTGTATTTTCAGCTTAAACATTATCATGTCATTATATTGTTGTCGGGGCAGATCTCTGTCTGTCTATCGATGTACACTGCCACATAGCTGCCCAGTTTGATTGATACTCGGTAGCCGAGGGATATTCCCGCTTGTCGATCATATTTGAACACGCGGCTTTGCCAGAGGTTTTCAAAGATTATTTTATGACATTTCAAACACCAGAACTTGCCTTATAATTTTCTTTAAGTTTCGTTGCTTGTTTCGGAATATTCTGCATAAATTCAAATAGAAAAAAAGAAAACTTTCATTTCCACTGGGGCGTTTTTTTTGCTTTGCTTTTCACTCTCCGTTTCACGCGTTTTTCACTTTCACTTGCTGGGCAGTGTGCCAGCCAGCTAGTATCCTGTGGGAAGACTGTGCTCCGAGCACTCGTTTTTCTCCGTGTGGTTCAACCGTGGCCGCGCGTCGAGTTCTGACAAATGATTTCTGGCGAGCGCCAAAGAATGCCTCAGGTTTTTTCTGCCCTCGCACTCGAACGTGTTCGAAGCTGCCTGCGAACATGTTGCATGCATTTTCATTCATAAAACCTTTGGGCGCAGACATTACGCATACGCAACAATTTGCTGACTATTTGAGCTGTCATAAGAAGCAAACTACTTGTGGTAGGGTTCTGCTTATGGTGTGCTCTGTTAGCTGCAGGCATTCTTAGAAAATTGTGTATTAAAAAACTTGCATTTTTGCATAGATTCTTTATAGAAAAATGCAATTTTCAGCGCAACTATGTATAGCACATTTCTTAAGACCTTTTTTGAAATTGAAATAAATTCTATTAAAATCAACGTGCACATCAGACTATAACTTTGAGCTTTTAACTTTCAGATGCAGCTCATTTCATGCAAATATCTTCCCCCGTTTGCCCACTGTGCCGTTTGGTTATCCTTTGCCAATGTCAGCGCACTGCTGCACGTCCATTGCCACCAGCAGCATCATCATCATGCTCGTACCTTCATGGCGCTACTCGAAATACCTTGCTCTGTGTTGTGCCAGCATGTGTCTGCTATCCTGGGAGCTCCTCGAAGTGGCGTGCCTCGGTGTCGGTTCCACTTTCGTGATAATTGCTGCTAATTAGATAATTTTACACACAGACCACTCTTACATGCAGCGTTTGAAGTGCATAACAATGCAACAGCTTTTGTGGGGGGGCGCAGGCAGCATAACTGCCATAACCAGAAGCAAACTGTGCGCCATTAATGAGCGAAAATTCCATCAGCAAATGCTTGTTTTTGTGTGGGAAGAATGCCGTTGTGAGCTCTCATTATCGATACGGGACATGGCATATGGTTGGGGGCAACGCTAAATAGGAAAAGAATTCATTTACAGGACGTTGGGAACCACAGCAAGATGTGCCAGCCGATACAGCAGACAGGAAGAGCAAAAACCATGAGCCAGCAAATGACAAATGACGCTGTCGAAGAGTGGCAGCTCAGTCACGTGTGATGAAGCAGCAACAATGTGGGGCAGGCTAATGTGACGCACCAGGGGCACCCATGGGCGCTTCTTTGTTTTGCTGTTGAGCTGTCAATATTGGTTGAGAGTGGATTTCACGATCTCAGGCAGGCACGGCAGCAACCTTTGACAACTTTGATGACTAAACAATTCTACAATTTGTGGCAGGCGTAAAGTGATTTATGCCAGCAATCACCGCTGAAGCGTGTTATCGTTGGGAATACATTGATCAGAGATCTTTTTGCTGCTTTTACATTTAATTTTCTTACAACACAAATTACAAAGTGCAAGCAAAAAACTGGCAGCTTTAACACGGCAACTGGCAGCAACAATTGCCATGCCAACCATCCGCGGGGGGGGGCCTGGACTTGAGTCTAAGAAAAGGCCAACTTATAATTGAATTATTTAGCGATTTCGCATTAACTATCATGCACGTGTGCCTCTCTCGAGTGTTATCTCTGCCAAAATCCATAATTTTGCCACATAAAATTAAGGGCATTGGGGCTTAGGGGAGACTCTTTCCTGCGGATTTATCTCCGCTCGACGCAATGTTGTCACAGCACTCGACTGGGGCAGGCCGGAGGCTTGGATGGCTCGACATGTGTGTGCCAGGAAACCGCTTCACGGGAAGTGCTGGCAAAAGTTTTAGCCGCATTTTCGAGCTGTATGTAAAACATATTTTGTGGCCCCCCCCCCAAAAACTCGACACAACAAAAGGTCGAATACGTAGAAGTGTCTGTGCGGCGGAGTCGCCTGGAAACCGTGCGGTTACTTTCAACTTAAAAGTGCTTCCGGCTAGTGGGTAGCAGGTGAGAGCACCCCCAGCCATTATTAGCTCTGGGCTGCCCCGCTGATTGCGCAGCAAAAAAATAAACAAGCGCCTGCTCGAACATAATATTGGCACTCCACGTTCATGTCCTATCGTATCCTCTCCTACACGTGCCAGCGACTAATGTGCCGCTAGAGTGTGCCGCATAAATAATGGAGTTTATGGGCCAGGACCCAAATCCCAAGCCCTAGCCCAGGCACAGGCACAGCCACAGGCACAGGCACTCATCGTGCAGACAGTAAAGTAAAATCCATTGACCCAAATCACACATTTTTGCATTGCTGAAATTAAGTTTTCCAATAAGAAATTCCGCACGATACAAATCTTAATATACAAGTTGGCGGCAGTCTGCAAAAACCTTTTCTTTATTTTCCTTTTCCTTCAACTATTTCCTACACTTCATTGCCTTGGCTGTCCACTGTGCAAAGGCGAACAAATATGTCCAACAAATTGATTTTCCAGGCAGCTTTTGGGGTTCCTGCCTCTGGCTACTGCGGCTGTGGCGGTGCCCGAATCCAATTGAAACTGTCGCCTCAAGCAGCGGCTATGATTTTCCTTTACTTTTTTCCTGTATTTATGCCCGCTGGCAGGGCCCTAAAGCCCCTGGCGCCGTTCATTTTCTAAAGTATTTGAACACATTTTTTATGTAGCTGAGACGTGGGCTTATGCCGGGGTTGGATCGACTTGGCTCGGCTCCTGTTGCCGGCAACCTCGAGTGCTGTGCTGTGCTGTGCTGTGCTGTGCTGTCCTCTTTGGCAACTTTTTGCGCCGTTTGCAGCGCTTCAAACTAAATACTTTATT